GAAGAATCATCCAGGCTCCGCCAGCATCCACAGCACACTTTTGTTTGCCAGCAAATGAGAGTGAATCAACAAAGTGCTGATTTTCCAGGTGCCAGCCCTTACGACTTATTAGGCTTTGAGAATGGTCTTCTTAAAACAGAGAATATTTATCATATGCTCAGCTTCTTATGAATCATATCCCTCCCCCACATCCGCCAACCCCCACATCTGTTTCGCACATAGATAGTCTTGGACAATAGTGATAAATTCATATTAGAGAAATAATTGGAAAATGCTGGTGTTCATCCTGCACCACTGGGACCAAGTAAGGCAAAAGAGGGCTTTCCTCTCTCTCTGCAGACCTATTTAATTCCTCCAAAGTTCCACATGCTTCAACCTTTGCTTGTCTTGCTCAGGTTTTTCCTGGAGACACAACTATTTTCTCTGAGCCCAACAGAGAAGCGTATGGCACTTGACAAAGGAACATGCCCATTGAAAGCCTGAACTCGATACTTTTATTCTTTTCAGACCTAGGAGAGGATTGAAAGGGCTCCTAAGCATGAGTCACTTTATTTAGGCCTCATTTCTATTTCCTGGCTTGTTTTTCTTTGACCCCTGCATTTGTTGGTGGCAGATAGAGGAGAGGTACAGAGGAGGTAGAGAGAGAGAGAGAGACAGAGAGAGAGAGAGAGAGAGAGAGAGAGAGAGAGAGAGAGAGAGAGAGAGATGCTGAGCAGTCAGTCCTGGACTTCTGTGTTGTGACATTACCACCACGGGTGCCCAGATGTATTTCTGAGAAGCTGCCACACCACTTATGCTGTTGACGCACGCAGACCAAAGTTGTGTTTGTTATTTGGGGTCATCCCTGCCTTTGTGCTCAGGGATCACTCCTATCAGTGCTTAAGGAACCATCACTTATCACTTAATCACTTAATCCCCGTTATTCATCGATTTATTCGAGCGGGTGCCAGTAACGTCTCCATTCATCCCGGTTGCGTGCTAGCATAGCCCAATGGTATCTGTTCATTCTAGGAACATGCAGAGCCTCAAACCGATCATTTAGGGTCTTGACGAAGAAGTCTGACCATCTTATAGGTGGGTGTCCACGTGATCTTTTGATGTCCCGTGGAATCCAATCAGTAATGGCTCTAGTCCAGCGATTGTCTGTAAACCTCACTACGTGTCCAGCCCATCTGATTTTTGATGTCTTGGCAAATGAGACAGCGTCCCTGATTCTTGAGCGTTGACGAAGATCAGAACTCCGGACTCTATCTCTCATTTGAGTGAATCGTGATATTCCAAGCATAGTTCTTTCGATTCCTCTTTGAGAGACCCGAATAGCGTTCTCATCCTGTTTTCGTAGGGTCCAGGTCTCTGAGGCATATGTTAATGTAGGAAGAATAGTGGAATCAAAGAGATGTGCTCGTAGCTGGAGGTTCTTTGTCCTTTTAGTTATTTCTTCAATGCTCTTGAAGGCATTCCAAGCTGCTCTCTTCCTCCTGCGCAACTCAGGTGCCAGGTCATTCATCATGTTGATTTCTCAACCTAGGTATATATAACTGTTGCATTCGGAGATGGTGGTTCCGTTGAGAGCGAATGGAGCGTCAGGAACAAGGCTGTTTCTCATAAACATTGTCTTCATAAGATTCAGCTGTAGTCCGACCTTTCCACATTCACGGTCAAAGTCGTTCAGCATTTGTGCCGCTTGGCTGATGTTTGGTGTTATTAGAACGATGTCACCAGCAAAGCGGAGGTGGTGTAGTTGCCGACCATCTATCTTCACTCCCATGTTTTCCCATTCCAGTTGTCGCATGATGTTCTCGAGGGTGGCACTGAAGAGTTTTGGTGAAATGGTATCACCCTGCCGAACCCCTCTCTTGATATGGATGATTACTTCTTTGTAGAATGGTGAGATCTTGGTAGTGAATCCGCAATAGAGCTCACAAAGGATCCTGATGTATTGAGTTTGTACGCCCTGATTGGCTAGGGCTTCCATGACCGCTTCCGTCTCAACAGAATCAAAGGCCTTCTTTAAATCGATGAACGTTAGACAGAGCGGCATCTTGAACTCCCGAGATACCTCAATGAGCTTGGTTATTGTGTGGATATGGTCGATGGTACTGAATCCTTTTCGGAATCCAGCTTGTTCACATGTAGGGAACCATATGCACCCTTAATCCACGTACTTTCTCTAGCCTCAAACCAAAGGTTTTATCATTTAGAAAGGCCCTGGAATAGGCCACATAGAGGTAAATTCTAGTTCCACCACTTTCTTACTCTGGGACTTGGACAAGCAACTGAATCTCTCTCCTTATGTGAACAAAATTAAAACAAGTATTTAATGATAGCTGATAGTATTGCAGAAAAACTATTTGGGTTTTGAGTTATTTGGACTCTGTTTGCAAAACCAAATATTATACCAGTGTGTATCATTTCATAAAGGCCCAGCAATGCTAGTGATATTTATTTTTATTGCCCTGGCCTTCCAGACACTTATAATTGAGTTCATAGAAAAAATACATAATAAAGCATGAAACGATGTTATTGATACAGTATAAAATAATTGCAGGAGAGAAAGAGCATGTGAATAGCTAGCATAGCTGGCATTTGGGCCAGCCTGAGTAGTAGGAAATTCTGTTCCCTTGATACTTCCCTCATGAACTCTGTCTCCTTTTCTTCTCGGTTGTGGGGCCATGCCAGACAGTGCTCAGGCATGGGGTGACGTGGGGACTCAGACTGGGGCTTCTGGCATATGCAGGCAGAAGCAGTACAAAATGAAATCTTGGAATGGGGTCCTTTAGTCCCCAATTTTGTGCTCACAAGTCTTCTCCAGATCAGATTCCGTGCTGCCCTCTGAGTGCAGATCCAGGTTTCCTGGTGTGACTAACATTGAATGGACTGTGACGTTCCCTTCTGCCTCTCCTTGCTGCTTGGAGCATCACTGCCGCATGCTCAAGTAGAGCTCGTTGCAAGTCTGAAGACTCTCTGGCCTGCTCTTCCTAGCAAGGGCTCAGCTTTGTTTCCCACTGTTAAACCAGGCCAAGATATCTCCAGAGGAACGCATAAATACAAGTTGCGATGCAATAAGCAAAGGATTTTTATTGGCTAGCTTGAGCTAGGATCCTCATCTGGCTCACAGATAGCCTTTTCAGAACCAGCAGCCCCGATTCTCAAAAGTGAGGGGCTTTTATACCATAACATTGTATAACAAGGACTTTCCTCGGACCACCCTTTTGGCAGAAGCCTCAAGGGCTTTTCACTACTTGAACTGAGCTAATTGGTTTTAAGTTGGAGTTACATAAAAGTTGCATAAGAGTTACATAAGGGTGAAGGGGTGGGGGGGTGGGGGCCAGCTTCCCTACCTGCATCTGATCGGTAACCCTTAGTTGACCTCACCTTGGCTATCTCACTTTGGGGAAATCGTGACTCAATTCCAGGAATTCTGGAACCGAAACTTAGGCCTAGCTTCTTCTGGCTACTTTATGAGCCTGTCATGGCACTGCTATTGCTTCTCTATCTCTCACCACTTGGAGCAGGCACTGTGCAGGCAGGGGACTTGCTTGGAACACAGTCCGTTGTGAAGAAAGAGGGGCGTGCTGCGAGCCGCTCTGCCCCTACGAAAGCGGGCCTTGCCACATTTGATCTTCCCCTAGGCCCAGGGTTTACCCAGCAGAGCATTCCAGGCCCCCTCTCTGGGCACATGTGGGGCCCAGCAACCCTGGGGGACATGTGTGGAAATTGGTATGTGTCCTGGGAGACAAAGGAGCTAAATTATATTCCCAGATCCAAGGCTCTGTAAGACTCTGAGCAAAGCACTCAGCCTTCCTTAGAATCTCAGTCCTCCAGTTTATAAAGGAGCATAAGGATCTCGCCCAAGGATCTGAGCTGAAAGAAATAGTGTGTCTTTATACAGACTTTAAAACCTGTGACATGTCATGTGATTGTATGGTGGTGCCATGATAGAGTTTAAAGTCTGCAAAAAACTGTAGAATAAAAGCAAAAGGAAAGAATAACAGGAAACTAAAAAATACAACAAAAATAATCATTAAACTGACTGTACAGTATATCTAAAATTTCCCAAGAACTTGCACTGGGCTGGTTACTAACTAATGTGTGATAAAAGAGAAGAATAAATTTCTATTTAAACTTATTAATGACAAAATGTGTTTAAATTTACTGTAAAAAATTAGGGTATGTTAACTTAAAGAATGATAAAATGATACCAAAGAATTAATGTATAAATGATTTTAGAGGGGCTGGAGTGATAGCACAGTGGGTAGGGCGTTTGCCTTGCACGTGGTCAGCCGGGGTTCAATTCCCAGCATCCCATATGGTATCCTGAGCACCTCCAGGAGTTATTCCTGAATGCAGAGCCAGGAGTAACCCCTGTGCATTGCCAGGTATGACCAAAAAAGCAAAAAAAAAAAAAAAAGGATTTTGGATGAGCATAATGTTTTGAACAGTTAGGAGGTTTTATATCTTAATAAAAATATAAGAACATAAACATACTTTTATTTATTTATGATCAGTAATGATCTGCAGACTACATGACTTATGACAACTAAACATTTACCTCCTGATATCATTTTCATATTAATATTAATGTTATGTTTTCATATTAATATTAATGTTATGTTTTCATATTAATATTAATGTTATCATTAATACTATCTTATTGTCCTGTGTACAGTGATAATGAGATGATTACTCTTTTAATTATTATAAAACATGCTTTGCTTGGAAATATCTCAGTAGTAACATTGGAGAGAGTATTTGGCACAAAGCAGGCCCTGAGGTCCCAGTACGGATGTGGGTAAAGCAGATGGAATTACTCTGATTAGTAGATTCCCTCCTCTTTCAGAGGTTGATTTTCTAAAATATTTACATGTGTGCATTCTGAAGTTTATAGCTTTTACTACAGCCTTAAGGGGTTAAGAACCAGTTTTCATAAAGAGACAGAGTGACATCAATTTGAGTTCAACCCCAAGGGGTTTCTAATTAGAACTTGCTTCTTCTCCTAGGTATTGAAGTTTGAGCCTGGCCATTTCAAGAGGCGGGGTAGAAGCAACAAACACATGGCCCTTGTGGACATCCAGCTGGAGCACCACGAGAGGTGTGATTGTATCTGCAGCTCAAGACCACCTCGATAAAAGAATGTGCCTGTATCATTCTAAGCACAAAAGAACCTTAAGTTTCAGGAGGGAGTGGTAAGAAACACTCTTCCCAGCAGCAACTGAACTTACTCCTAGCTGCAGAGCAATGAAATCAAGTGGTTGCCAAGTTTCAACTTAGCTTTATTAGTGCCATGGCAGTACAAAGGCCTATTATCATCAACTTCTGTATCCAAGAGTATAGGATTGCATTTAATAATAGTGGTTGAGGATGTGTGTATGTATCTATACGTACCCATATATGTACCCATGTCACTATGTAAATAGATCGGATGATTTATTCTGTGTATATAATCAGGTACACCAGAGCCTTCTTTTGCTTGCGTTATTTAGAACCTTTATAGTCTTTTCACAAAAATATGGGAGGCATTAAGTGATTAAGTGATTATGTGATGGGAGGCATTAAATCCATTAAAGTCAACTTCAAAATATTCAAAACATGAATTTGCTTTATGTTTTACTTTGAAATATGACATAATTTTTGGAACTTGCTCTTTCACATACAGTACCTTGAATATCAAAACGAAACAGATGAGATCTTGTTATATATACATCTTAATTGATTTCTAAAAAGGAGAAACTAGACTTTCTAGGACAAAACATAAGCCTCGCCACCTCCCCATGAGATGCTCTACATAATTAATGTGGACAATAGTTAACCAAAGCATGTCATGATAATATAGGTGCTTCGGAAATATTCTCAGAGACTGTGGCAAAATTTTCAGTTGTTTTCTTTCCAAGAACCCTTCCACAAAATGGAGAATGGCTTAGTGCCCTATATGAGCTTTTCAAAATGGGATCATTGAAAGATTTGGGTAGTTGAAAACCAAGAAAGTGAGCATTGAAATCCTAACATGACTAGAAATCAGATGGAGCAGTTGATAGAATCCAGACTTAATAAAGAAATTGAACTGAGTCAATTGTCTGGCACCCTGCCTTCAGCCCCTATCTCTCTGGCACACGAGCATGGAGTTACAGTGGCATTTTATATTTGACTGCCCATCATGGATTATTTAGAGTCTAATGCTTGTGTGTATTGGAACAGTCCTGTCTCAGTGATGGAAATCCCTCATCAGGTGCTCACTTGCCATTCTGGAGCTGAGTGACGTCAGAGCTGGGTACCTGTCTGCCTCCTCCCAGCTCTGGACAGCTGATTCTGAGAAGGTGCATTGTGCAGGCATTTTGGCCCTGCTCTGCCATTAGGAAACTATTTTTGCATTGGTGGTTATTATTGGTGTTTAAGTAAGTTTTCCTCTCTGGCTCCTGCGTGTCCTGGTTGTGATTCCACAACCAGGAAGTGATTCATCACATGCCGACTCAAGTCTCTTTGGGGGCTGCCCTGGAATCAGCAGCGCTCAGGGGCGAATGGAAAGAACCACAGTTTTCTTCCTGCTTTGGAATCCAAAGGGAGAGCTGATTTCTTCTTGAGTCTAAGGTCCTGCCAATGGTCTTCAGTGTGGGTGCAGGGAAAGAGAAAGGCTTGTGAAGTCCTGATGTCAAATCAGTGACTGCTGTACTCGATCAATCGGTGCCCTCAAGACCAAGTGCCCCATTAGCTTTCATGTCTCATTTATTCACAGCTTTTGAGATGAAAAGGCAGTTCCTACTGGAGAGGTTCCTTCAAAGCATCCCTTAAAAAGTTTCCGGTGTTTTTGCTGCAGGGAGTGAGTGATAAAATTAAACACTGGTTTGGTGGTTCAGAATCTCAAAGCACGGTCAGAATTAGCAGAAGCAAATCCTCAAGCCCAGAAATTGTTCTTCCCCTTCGCGGTCACTTGCTAGTTTCCTATGAAAACATCAGCTGCCAGATCAAAACCAAAATGTGTGTTACATTACTCTAGCCTGTTCGACTTACATCGTAGTTCTAAGTATGAAAAATTAAAGTGTTCTACCCAATTTTCAATAAACCTTCCTGGCTGTAATAACCAGGATGCTCTTCAGTTAACACTCTATCTGTACGTTTTATTTATTATCTGAAATGTAAGCAGGCTTAGTCACTCGCTTTTTGAGTGTTTTATTAAAACTTCTCTCTTGGTTATCTATTATCTATTGCACTTCCAACATATAGCCAATAAATCTGTTTCATTGCCATCAAAGGAATAAAAAGCTTGCCAAACAAATTACATTTCAAAACAAAACCTAATAAATCCACACTTATGCATGGCTTGCTCACCTGGAATAATGCCTTTCATTTAATATATCCTCAAAAGGCAGAACGCTTTCCTAAGTAGATTTTTTTAAAATGTCTGGGTTTTTTTTTTGCGGAGATGAGGGGGAGGTAGGGGGGTCATATCAGTAGCAGTTTTTTCCCTCATAGCATTTTTATAGCAAATGTAATATGTTTCTTATCTCCATAAAGAATAAATATGACTTTGAACAAAACCGTTCTATTATTGAGTACTCAGCTGTAGTTTTCAAAGGTGTGTGGTGTTAAAATGTACTTTCCCAGATATGTGCCGCTGCTTGGGCTGACAAGAGGGATGATGTCTGAGGGAGTTGAAAGAACACAAACCTGATGTCCCAGAGGACAATTCCCTGTCCCCATTCCAAAGCAAGGTGAGTTTCATGGGTTTGTTGCTGCTGTGGCTTCTGGGTTATTTTTCCCTCTTTGTAAGGAAACTCAATCTCTGCAGGCAGTCCTGTCAGCAGAGAATGTCCAGGTGTTCCTTTCTCATAGGGTCTGACATCCATAGCATCACAGACTCGGTCCCCTTGTCTTGGCTGTCTCATCTTTCCCCTCTACCTAGGGGACCCTACCAGCAGCTCCGCTTTTTCTGCCTGGGAAGACCCAAGGAGGAGCTTCAGCCTATCAAATCTGTCTCAGGACTTCTTGATTCATGGTCGGTGGATTGGTGGGGCCAGGGTTAAAGAGCTTTTCTTCCTGCAAGAACTTTTGCTGGGAGTTTTGTCTTCCTTATTATCCAGCTGGAGACAAGATGCAGCTTCATTACCACTTTACTAGCAATTTGGTTGTGTGGGAAAAGGAAATAGAACCATTATATTCTGTGGCAAGAATCGGTTCCATCCCTAGAAATAGCAACTGGAGAATGGCTAAACTGTGTGGGTGGGTGGGGAAAGCAAGAATGAATATTCTGCATGGTGGTCAATTGAGATCATTTAGATTCTTATGTGAAGAATCATACTAGCCATGTATATAAACACTACTTTAATGCACATACATTAAGAATTTTATTCTAAAATGTGCATGTGTCTGGTTTTGTTTTACGAGTGACACAGCAGATGTCCAAATTGTTCCTATTCTCCTCAGATCCTCAAGGAGAACATTAAATTAAAATTCATAGATTAGTAGTCATGCCATAAATGCTAGGAAATACAGTTTTGTTTATTGACAGCTCTGATCAAATATGCTGGTGGAGAGTATATTTATAATTCATGGACTGTATTGACATCCACTCAAATTTTGTTGTCTTTAAAGATCAAGTTAAAGACTACACAGGCCTTTCCAACTTAACATCACACTGGGGGGGGGGGTGTCTTGCAGATATAATAATTAGATTTCAAGAATGGATCAGTTAGATACCCAGGGCTAAGCGCTTCACTCAGCACTTCATGCTTATTATTCATGCCATAGTTTTGAATTTTGCAAGTTAATTTCTATCTTCTTAAAAATAAGTTTAATTTCAATAGAGCTCTCTGAAAATTTGTTAGCATGCCATATTAGAAGAGAGCTAAGACCATAATACAGGTTAATGTATTCAATGCTGCAAGTTATGGGCCAAAAAATCGTAATTTTCAAGTAAAACCATTTGACTTTCTAATTACCTTAAACTACAGGACACTGGTTGCCAGGTTTAGTGGCCAAGAACCAAATGTTAAATTCGCTCTGAGATTCAATTTATATTTTAAACAATGTCTCTAATGAAAATTGTCCCTTGAAACTAAAGACTCTGAATCTTATTCCTGGTCCCATTTGGTTGAGAGTATATTACAAATTCATGGCCTTCATAGGTTCTTCTGAGGCTTCTTTTTGACTGCCTCATTCCTTCTCTTTCTCTCTAGGCCTTCCCCACCAGCTTTCAATCAGAGGGAGTCATAGTCATTGTCTGCCAAGAAGGCTCAGGAGGTGAAGTTTAGGCCATAAGAAGATCAGAGGCACAGGTTCCCAAGTGAGCAATTAATAGGATGACATTCCCAACTGTTAAGAAACTCTTCTTTACAAGTAGAACATATCAGGCAAATTTCCCCCCATGTTTTCCGTTGGAGTGCAAGCACCAGAATATGGCAAGAGATATGTATTGATTTTTATCAAAGGAAATTTAGTCATCGCTCAATATGGGAAAACTGAATTAAGTATTTCATTTATTCATTCAACAAAAATACATTATAAGATCTAGGTGTCACGCATATTTTGGTGTTAAAAATATAATCTCCAGTAAGGAATAAAAAAAGAGAAAGAGGATTTTGGATAAGAAGAAAGAACAATGTTCCCCCGGCAAAAAAGCAGGATGAAGAATGAGGTGAGAGTAGCAGAAAGGGACCTAGAGAGGAATCGTTAGGATGGTGTTTGCAGATAAGTACATCAGCTTCCCAAAGGTCAGACCATGACTAGCAAAGAACCATGTCTGTTAGCTGCAGGAGAGGAAGCTGGGGGGTCTTCTGAGCAGTGAGGACAGCTGGCATTGGAAAGCATCCAGGTGCAAGTCTGTGGGCCTTGAGGAGAGTGACAGGTCTGCTGCTGCCTGAATCTACATTCCCTTATTTAAAATCAGGTGGGGAAACATGCTGTAGCTCTTTCCAACAAAATAATAGTGACCTTTGGGCAAGGACAGTGTGATGGAAAGACAGGGATGCTGGGAGATGAATCACAGCCAGGGTTGAGACAGTGCGATGGGAGTGGACCTCAGAGAGGCGAAGGACTGGGGATTCCCTATGACCGAAGTTCCAGGACATGTTGTGTGGACTGTGAGAGCATTGGGAGGCCTGCATGCCCCCCTAGGGAGTGAGTGCTCTGGAAGGAGGCACATGAGTTGGAATTTAGAGTATTCTGGAAAAACTAGGGAGGTAGAAAGGAGAGGTGAGTTTTGAGAAGTTCTCACTTCTCTCAGGAGATCCAGGGCTAACTTGGGTCAGAGCATGGGGAGGTCCCCACGCTTGCAAATGTCTAGTGTAGAATTGTAAGTACTCTCAGAGGAAGAGTGCTTGTGCCCAGACTGGGCTGAACAAAACGGTTTTAGAGAACAATGAAGGTCTTGTGTTTCTTGTTCTGACCGAGCTGGAGAAGGAAGGGCAGGTCTTACACTGATAAAGAAATGAGTAATCCATCATGTTTGTGAAAAGCAAAGACTTAGTCTAGATGGCATTCAAAGGTGGGGTTTAGATCAGAGGCAGAAAGGGAACTTGTTGTTGTTTT